GCCAACATTTTTTCTCCTTAAAGTGCCAACACGGCAATTAAACCCAAATACTGAGGTTTAAGTTTAGAAAAAAAAAAACTCGTACTGTTGTCCGAACTAATAACTTGTTTTAAAAGAACACAGAGAGTTCAATGATACAAATTTTAAATAATGATATAAATAGATAAAATTAAGCTTATATTTATTAGTATCTCCAACAAATGCAATACATACACAGACAGACTGCTGAATACATACACACAGTCTGCTGAGTACACACACACAAGACTGCTGAATACAGAGACTGATGAATACACATACAGACAGACTGCTGAGTACACACACACACAGACTGCTGAGTACACACACACACACAGAGACTGCTGAGTACAGACACACACACACACAGACTGCTGAGTACACACACACACACAGAGACTGCTGAGTACAGACACACACACACACACAGACTGCTGAGTACACACACACACACACAGACTGCTGAGTACACACACACACACAGACTGCTGAATACACACACACACAGACTGCTGAGTACACACACAGAATGAGTACACACACACAGACTGCTGCTGAGTACACACACACAGACAGACTGCTGAATACACGCACACACACACAGACTGCTGAATACACACACACAGGACTGCTGAATACAGAGACTGATGAATACACATACAGACAGACTGCTGAGTACACACACACACACACACACACAGAGACTGCTGAGTACAGACACACACACACAGACTGCTGAGTACACACACACACAGACTGCTGAGTACACACACAGACTGCTGAGTACACACACACACACACACACACACACAGACTGCTGAGTACACACACACAGACTGCTGAATACACACACACAGACTGCTGAATACACACACACACAGACTGATGAGTACACACAGTAGGAGTACTGTGTATGGGGCGTAGGGGTACTGTGTATGGGGGGTATGGGGGTAGGGGTTACTGCTGGGGAGGGTAGGGGTTACTGCTGGGAGGGGTAGGGGTTACTGCTGGGAGGGTAGGGGTACTGCTGGGGGTAGGGGTTACTGCTGGGGGGGTAGGGGTAGGGGTTACTGCTAGGGGTTACTGCTGGGGGGGTAGGGGTTACTGCTGGTAAGGGTGCTGTGTGTCAGTATAACCCCCCCTCCTTCCTACCTTTAATGAAGTGGGGGGGGGGGACAGCCATCCCTGGTGGTCCGGTGGTGGTAAGCACTGCAGGGGGAGGGCTCCAGGAAGCAGCTCCCCTGTCCTCCTGCGCAATGCTATGTGGAGCGATGCCATGGTAACGCGCGGCAACGCTCCACACAGCATCACGCGGGAGGACAGGGGAGCTGCATCACAGAGCCCTCCCCCTGCCTCCCGACCCGGAAGCAGAGTAGGCGCCTGCCGTTTTGGGCAGGCAGGTGCCTACTCTGCAGTGATGGCGAACCTGTGGCCGCGTGCCCACAGAAAGGGCCCGGCGTGCCACCTGTGGCACGCGTGCCATAGGTTCGCCATCACTGGTTTAAAACTACTGCACGATGTCTTTGTGCACCAAATACCGGCGAGATGGCACGTGTAGAAAAGTCACAACAGTGTCTGTGAGTTAAAATGGCCGCCATCCATTGTTCTCACCATGTGCTTCATCCATTGTTCTCACCATGTGCCTCTGATATATGAAATGGTGGACACCCAGTAACTCCACAGTATGTGCCCAGATGGTTCTTGAAGGGCCAGCAGCAGCGTAACACAAATCCATTATGCCCAAATCATGTCTTTAAAGGGCAATACATCCCAGGGGCCATAGTCACATGGCAGGAGGCTGGCAATCAGTCTTCTCCAATGCCCAGTGGCGAGGTCAGTTTCGCCACAGCAATGTTGACCTAATCTGGAGACAGGCTACCATACACAAGCAGTCGCTGATTGTCTCACTTGATGCCGAAAAGGCTTTCGATAGGGTAAAATGGCCATACCTATTCACAGTCTTATCGCACTGTGGGCTACTGGAGGAATACATTGCGCTTATCAGAGTGATGTATAGTAACGTTCAAGCCCAAGTTCAGGTCTCAGGGGCCCCCCTCCACCCCATTCAGCTTTACAATGGCACGAGGCAGGGATGCCCACTATCTCCACTTCTTTTTATCCTGTCCCTAGAACCCCTGCTACAGGCACTTAGGCAACACCCTAGAATACGCGGAATCACAGTGGGAGGAAGGGAGTTCGTAGTCTCGGCATACGCCGACGATGCGCTCTTAACTCTCATGAACCCAGCCCAATCCATGGCAGCATTACAAGAGGTCCTCCAGAGTTATGGGGAGATTTCGGGTTACATAGTTAACATGACTAAGTCTAGCGCACTCCCGGTAGGTATGTCGGCGGCGGACGCAGCGGAGATCGGGGACGAACACACCATACAAATCGAACACATCTCCATTAAATATCTAGGAGTTCGTTTAACCGCGGACCTCGAAAAATTGTTCCACTACAATTACACTCCATTAATTAAAACCCTAACAAGAGATCTCGAAAAGTGGCTGGATATGCCGATATCATGGGTACAACAGATTCACTCCGTGAAAATTAATATCTTGCCACGCATCCTATTTATGTTCCAGGCACTGCCCATGCACCTATCTAAAACCCTGCTACTACCACTGCAACGAACCATAGGTGCTTTCATATGGCAAAATAAATGTCATAGAATATCCAGACAGGTCCTTTATAGACCCAAGGCGAGGGGAGGACTGGGATTGCCCTGCTTGTTGTCACGGTTCTCGCCGCAGCAAACAGACGGCCAGACATGGTCACCCATGGAGTTCCCAACAAGGGACTTGAACCGGGGAACTTTTCAGTCCTGGTCCTGCTTCCTTCCTCTGAGCCACAGCAGCTTTTGTATTCCACATGTCATTCTGGTCCTGTTCATCCTGGCATGTCTATTACTCTGGAGGCTGTACCTTGACTTTGGATGTGCTTCAACTGACCCTGATCAGACATTAGCAGGGTATTTAAACTCAGCCTCGCCCTGTGATCAGTCTCAAGTCTTTGATCCTGTTGTGTGCTTTGTACCAGTGTTCCTGTCGTTTGAGCTGCTACTTGTTATTGACCCCGGCTTCTGACTACGTTTACTCTGACCTCTGGCATCCCTTGACTTCGGCTACTCCTCGTTGTTCCTGTCTTCTGGCATCCTTTGACCTCGGCTATCCTTTGACGATCCTGCTGTTTGAGTCCTTGCCTGTCCTGCGACTTGGTACTTCATCCTGCACAGCCCCCGTGCACAGACCCACAGGCCGGGTGAATTCTTACCTGACCACCTTGGCCTGTGGCTATCTGCAAGGGTGAGCAACATATCTGCGCTACAGACTCCCAACCCAGGTAAGACCCTGACACTTGTATTACTACTATTTGGCACAGGTAGCGATGTGGCACACCCCCCCAGATCTGCCAAAATTCGCTATGTGGGTACCAAAAGAAAACAGACCCATGATCAGGGTTACCTGCCCAGCGATCCTGAACTCACTTCGACTGTGGGACCTAACACATCTAAAATCTAGCATCCTCACCTTCCCCTCTGATGCCCTACCAATAAGGCCTTTACCCCGGGCATGACTGCCAGAGACTTTAGGAACCTGGAGCAAACAGGGATCCAGAAAATATGCCACTTATACAAAGGCACCAAAATATTGGGGTTTGAGAGAGGCAAGAGAGGCATCTCATGCCTATCGACTTTTTTAGATATATCCAGCTGAAAGATTTTATTAAACAACCACATATCAAAAGCGCAGCGATACATCCACTGACGTTTTTTTGAGCGTTGGTGCCTGATGGAGAACTCTGCTCGGAGACGAGGGAATGGGGCAGACTAACGTATGCTGATCAATGGGAACAGGAACTAGGTGAAGTTCTAGAAGGGATTGAATGGCAAGAGATATGGGAGGCAAGTGCCACCACCTCTGTATGTGTGACCCTCCGGGAACAATCCTTTAAAATGATGTTCCGGTGGTACACCACCCCTGTAAAGTTATTCCGAATGCACAAAACTACGACTGATGAATGCTGGAGGGGATGCAGACTCAAGGGTTCTTATCTACACATGTGGTGGGAATGTCCCAGTATTGTTAGATTCTGGAATCGAGTTAAAAACCTTCTGAGGCAGGTGTTCTCCAGGACCTTAGAATTATAATAATAATAAATAGTTTTAAGCAAAGGAAAGACGGAGAGGTGGGAGGTGAGCCAGCAAGTATTTATGATGACTAATATACCTAGCCATATACGATGATATATTCGAAACTATTAAGAGGCGGGTATAGTCTGAAAAAAAAAAAAAATTAGATCCCTGGGTATACTTGCTCAACAGATCGTTGGAGGGTTGGACCAGAACTGAACAAAAGCTTATCCATAAATCAGGCTGGCGGCTAGGAAGGCGGCAGCGGCCTCCTGGCTGATGCAGACTACCCCAGGCATGTCAGAAATTGTAGCTAGAATTAAAGAGATAAGACTGATGGACAATTTGACAGCCAGAGTTAGGGGGTACACTAAAACTTTCCATAAGATCTGAGCACAATGGAAA